CTTTCTTCCTTTCTTTCTTTCTTTCTTCCTTCCCTCTTTCCTTCCTTCCATCCTTCCTTCCTTCCTTCCTTTCTTTCTTTCTTTCTTTCTTTCTTTCTTTCTTTCTTTCTTTCTTTCTTTCTTTTTTTCTTTTGGCCTAGAGGCTCCCAGTCTGCTAGGTTGTCTGACCAGTAAGCCCCAGAGATCCTGCCTTCTCTGTCTCCCCAGTGCCAGGACTCAGGCCCTCTTGCTTACATAGCAAACACTTTCCAGTCCTCTGTTCTGAAGGCAGAAGGTTTCGTTGATAGAGTAGAGGCTGTTGGATACGGCATGGCAGTGGTTAGGGCCGGACATGCCAGATTGCATTGTGGCCACCTGGGTATGCATTCTGTCTGTATAGCACTGCTATGGTAATTAGCTCCTCCGTGCCTCAGTTTCTCCATATGTCAAATGGAGATGGTGAATACTGTCTGCCATGTAGGATTGTTACAAAGACTAGGAGAATGAATATTTGTTAAGTTCTTATAAAAGTGTCTGGTCTGTGGGTTACATAGAAGTTATAGATTTTTTTTTCTTTTTGTGAGACAGGATCTTACATAGCCCAAGCTAGCCTTTCTATGTTGCTAAAGATATCCTTAGGGTCAATGATGTCCTTGAACTTCTGACCCCCTTTGCTCCTACTTCCTAGGTGTTGAGACTGCAGGCATGCACTACCACATCTAGTTATATGGTGTGGGGATTGAACCCAGAGCTTGGTGTGTGTTAGGAGAACACTACCAATTCAGCTGTAGCTTCAGACCTCAGAAGTGTTTGTTAACTAAAAAAGAAGACAGAGAAGGTCCCTGGGGATGGGGGTGTAGCTGGCAGTAGAGCACTTGCCTAGCACAAGCAAAGATTTAGGTTAAGTCCCCAGAAATGTGTAGAAATAAAGGTAGGCAAGACAGGGGGGAGGGAAAGAGGGAGGGAGGAAGGAGGAGGTGAGGGAGATGGGGGAAGGCAATTATCCCCACCTGGCCAAGTTATCTTGAGAATGATCCTGGACCAGGATGAGGAGAAGCATACAGAACCCTGTCTTGGGCCTCCTGTCATGGACACTGTGGCTCGGCCCTGAATCTCTTCAGGGCTCTACTGTGCCTGGAGGAGGGGGTCTCCAGTAGATTTAGCAGCCACAGCCTGATATCCCAAGGCCTCAGGTGCCATTCCTCTGACCAGAGATCCACATGGTACCCAGCAAAGACTGGCCATGGCTTGGCAGAGCCCCTTCTTCACTGGGGAGGCACCCTGAAGCCACACCCTTCCACATCACGCACCTTGAAATGGGCATCTGACTCTTCCTCCTGCGTAGAACTGGATGGAGAGGGGGTGGCTGACTTGCTCCCTGGAGGTGATGGGGAGCTGTGGGCAATGCCACTCCGGATGCCCATCTGGGAGATGAGCTGGGATTGGCTGAGGGCACTCATGTGGCTGGCCAGCATTGCCGGGCGGCCCAGCAGCGGCCCTGGCCGGCCTGAGTCATAGGCAGCTACCTCCGAGTGGACCATTTCCTGGATCTGAGAGAGGACAAGGTGATTGTGTTAAAAGGCTCCTCTGCCTCAACAAATGCCACACCTGCCTCCCAGTAAGGGACATCTGGGTGAGAGGTGGCAAGTGGCAATTTCCATGCTGGGCTGTGCTTCCCATCGAGATGCCCATAGGGGAATTTTAAGGTGGAGTTCCAGTCTCCCCTGACCTCTTTGTGATGCAGAGCACCTGCAAAGCCCCTAGGGCCCCTTGGCAGTTTGCTGTTCTGTTGGCATCTGCCCTGGGCAGGCGGATGGTTGGCATGCCGCCCATACAGGAGCTTGGTCCAGCTGTAAATGTATCATCTCATGACACAAGCTCCCTGGCGAACACAGCTCTGCCTTGTTTGCTGTGCAACAATGAACGGCAAAGAAGACAGACGCTGGGAACCCAGTCCCTTGCCAGGTGCTTGATTCTGGCCAAGTTTGACCTCACTGGGCCTCAGTTTTTTCATCTGTAGGCTGTGTAATCAAATTACCTTCCGCAATTAAGGACAAAAATCTACTCAAGCACAAAGTCTTATACCATTGAAGTCTGTTCAATACATTGAACGAAAAAAATCTCTGGCTGTCATTTAGCGGGTTTTCCCTGTCAGCTACTTTCTTACTGACTTTATTCCTCTTTTCCCCCCAGTGGTTATTTTTGGGATACAAGAAAACTAATCATTTTCTACATGGGGGCATTCTCATACCGAACACGGAATTAGAACAGTGTGTACTCGTGACCCAAACAAACACGGTATAAATGCATGTTTCATTGAGGCCCCTGTGAACATTCTTAGAATTATTTTTATTTCCTCTGCATTTATTATTTACTGTCTGATTCCTAATGGTAAAGGCCTGCATGTTCTCAGCCTTCTCTTCATTAAGCAGCAAATCGACTTTCGATTTTATGGGGCTTTAAAACTTCCCTTTAGAAGAATCAGCTCTCACGCTAGACATGGCGGCACATGCTTGTAATACCAGGATAGCCAGAGCAACATAGTGAGATCCTATCACAAACAAACGAGATCTCAACATGATCCCTTCTCCTCTGTTCTCTAACGATTTAATATCTAATTTCATCTTTGTTAACCACTCCTCCTGGCTTGTAAAGATTGCTGATAATCCCTCGATGATTTTGAATTATATTTCAAAATTTGTTTATTTCCCTTGTTTTACTGTTAATAACATTTAGGGGCTGGGGAAATGGCTCACTGGGTAGAGTTCACGTTGTGTGAGCATTAGGACCACTCTTCAGATTCCTAGCATGCGTGTAAAAGGGGGCACCTAGTAGGACCACGGTTTGGATCCCTAGCATGCATATAAAAGGGGCCCCTAGGTGCCTCATCCTCGCCTCACTTCCTGGCATCTGGGCTGGGAGGCTAGAGGTTGGAGGAGGGTTTCAGGGAAGGAGGAAATGGAGAAAGTTGAATGCTGGGGTCTTGGCTAGAACTGCAAGGTTCAGGGTCAGCGAGAGACTCCATCTTAAAAATGAGAGCAGAGCCAGGACTAGGTGGATGGCTTAGTGGTTAAGCTTAGGGGCGAAGAGCTCATGTAAATGCCAGGTGGGAGTGGTGGCCGGCTGTAATTCCAGCCTTGAAGGGAGAGGTGGAATCTTCAGAGCAAGCTGGCTGGCAAGATGAGCCATATATCTGTGAACTCTGGGCTCGATTGAGAGACCTTTCCTCGATGAAGAAAGGGGAATAAAGTGGAAGCGTGATGGAGGATAATTCCCCCCTTCAAATTCAGACCCGCAAATGAACACTCGCACACGCACACTCACAAGTGCCCACACACATGTAAACGTGTGTGTGCATGTGCTCGTGCGCAGCACCCCCCCACAAGCATGTGCACTCGTGCAGCGCCCCCCACACACAAATGGACAAAGGAAAATGATGAGAGCAGAAGAGGGGAGCTCTGCTGACCTCTGACCTCCGCCACTCACTATGCATGGATGCCTCCACACACACTCCCCTACAATTAAAAATAATATTTTAATGCTAAAAATTTCCTGGGCATTTCTCATAGATGTTTACCTTGTAAGAATTTTGATTTTTTTAAGATTTATTTTATGTGTACGCGTATTTTGCCTGCACGCATGACTTTGCACCGCTTGCGTGCCCAGTGCTCTCGGAGGCTAGAAGAAGGCATCAGAGTCCCTGGAACTGGAGTCATGGATAGTCGTGAGCCACCATGTGAGAGCCGGGAGCTGAACTAGGGTTCTCTCAACTGTGGAGCTATCTCTGCAGCCCCAGAGAATATTCTGTAAGACTTTGGTTATTGAGCTCTCTTGTGTGTAGGTATTCCATTCTTTAATATTGCTCTTTGACAAAAAGAGTTCTAAAGAGGACTCCAGTGATTTCGAAGCGGCTAATTTGGCTTCTCTTTGCTTCGTCTTGAATTTCTAGTCACTGAAGCGGTGAAGGTCCCTCCTAGGTGCCATTTGTACTTCTGAGAATTTGTCAAGGTTTTCTTTGGAATTCAAATATCATCAAATCTTTACCCGTTCCAAAGTCCTCCCAAATATACTTTGGCGGGCTGTGGTCTTGATGCAGTAGGTACCGGTTACTGACTAGCATTGGCCGTGTTCTTCAGATACTCTAGTCTATTTTGTGTCTCTAACCTCACAGGAGCTTGACTAGACAGGGCTTTAAATCTTATCCTCCACTTATGACCCTTTTATCGTCCAAGAAACTTTTACCCGGCTCCAGGTATACAGAAGAGTAAAATAGACACGTGAATCAAACACTGCTGAGACACCGAGAGGGAAGTCATCTGAAAACAAGTCTTTGGTACACATGAAGATGCCGGCACATGTTCATACTAATGACATGGATGTGCTTATCTACACTTGCACGAAGAACTGAATCTTGGCTCAACTCTGGTAGGCAGGATGGAGAACATCTTTAACATGTCTCAGAGGGGATTCATGTTTTGAGTTCCATAATCATCGATGCTGAAACTCTGCTTGGCATCCGTACAGAGCTTAGATTGGCAGAAGGATGCTTAGCGCCATCTCAGACACGGTTGGAAATCCTGTCCTAGCCCTAAGCCAAAATTCACTGAACAACCTCTCATGAAACACTTCAGCAACTCAAACAGCAATTAAAAAATATCAAACATTCTTAAATAAAAACCAGAATACAAAGATATACTAAACGCCAAGAAAGATGGTGGGAAAAATATTAAAGCCGTGATTTAAAAAAATCTTTGTATGTATGTGCATATGTGTGGGTATGTAGGTGTATATGTTCACCTATGGAGGTCAGAGGTCGACCCTTGAAGGGGAGGGCCTTTTATCTGCTGAGTCATCTCTCCAGCACCCCTATGCTTACTGTTACTATTTTGAGATTTTTAAAAAATTTTATGTGCATGGGGCATGGATATACTACCTTCATGTATGTCTCTGCACCATGTGTTAGTGCCTGTGGGCATCAGAAGGGCATCGGAAGAAGCAGCTCTTCCGTTAAAAATCCAATCCAGCAGCTTCCCTGATCCTTTCCGAGCCCTGACCTCCTGTTCAATAACAGTGAATTCATGCGTTGTGGGTTATTTTTGATACAGCTTTTTCAAATTAAGCAATTTATTGCATGTTTGCCTTATTTGGTTCAGAACCATCTAGATCTAGCTCAAGGGTTCCAACAGAAGCCACTTCACCAAGAGGGAACATCTGAAGGTGTCTACAAAGACATTTTCCGTCTCACCACTGGGGGCATGCTCCTGTCTCCTGGAGGTATTGCCCATGAAGCTGTTAAACTCTACAGTAACTGGGATGACTGCCCTCCATCCTTGCCCCCCAAACAAAGACTTCCTGTGTGTTGATTGAGCTGCTCTGCTCTCCACAGGAGATGCTTTCCTTGAGGAAAATCTCAGCTTTGCTCTGGGCGTGCTTCTCAAAACTGAAGATTGGATTTTGTCTTTTACTCTCAGGCTGCTTGGAAGAGTGTTTTGATGGAATGTGTCCTGTTGTTATTGTGGTTGGGGAATGTGAACCCTAGAGTTTCATTTTTTGGAACACACCAAAGCTTTCCTTAGAACAGAACCACATCTTCCAAAAAATTTCATGTAAAACTAAAACGATGTGGGCTTGGGGCTGAGAGTGTAGCTCAGAGTAGAGTGCTTGACCTGCATGCGTGAGGCCCTGAGTTTGATTCCTAGCACAGAAAAAAAAAAAGAAATATATTCACTGTCCTATATACAAACCCTCCGTGTCTATTGAATGCACTGTTTTGACATCAGTTGTGAGACTGAGAAAACTGAGCTGAAGCCCTCCAGCCTCCCACGTCTCCGACAGTTCCGCAGAGCATTTGGCATGAACGGGTTTTCTTCAGGTACGCCACGTGAAACCGTTCAGTGCTTAGACATCCCAGAATGCTCTGTGTTCATGAAGGCTGCTCCTCATTCATGAAAGCAACTTTGCTCCGGTGACTGTCTCTGCCTTCCATCCTTTCCTATCAGCCGTTGTCATGGTTTCCATACGGTTTTGTTCTCATCCCGCATGGTTTCAGATGCACATCATGCAAATGGTGTCTGGGCGAATGCTGGTCCACAACCCCGTTCCCAATACACTGGGATCCACACTAAGTACATTAGTCAGAAGCCCAAAATATAGGCTTAGCAAGCCAACTTCCTTAAAGTGTGGCAAGTTTTAACTCTCTAAGCATCTCCCCGTCTGCCAGCAATATGAACATGCTGTTTCTTCTTTGAGGATGTTTGTTTGTTTGTTTGTTTGTTTTTCTTTTAGGCAGGGTCTTACTATACAGTCCGGGTGACTTTAAACTCTCTATTCTCTTTCTTCAGTCTCTTGAATTATAGGTGTGTACTACCACGCCTAGCTTTTAAGTTTTAAACAAGAACATGGCAATTGTTCCCTCCAGTGCAAACTGGCTATCGCTTGTTAAGGTGTGCTATATTTTTCTTCTCAGCTAACTGTGGCAGAATTCTTCAACCCAATATTCCTGACTTTGTGATTTATTATCTTGTTGCTATTTGATAAATTAAAAGTACTT